TCCTTAATTTTCTGCATGACTTTCAGTTTGTTCTTCTTTCTCTTTTCGTTTGGTTTTTCGTTTTTTTTTTTTTGGGGTGGGGGTGGGTGGGGTGGGGGGTGGGGGGTTGGGATAAATCTTTCATATTAGAACACTGAATCATGCTCGTCCACCTAAAGTGGTTCTGTCCCTTGGAACGAATGGGGTTTCTGGACATCAGGTATAAACATTGCATGATGGCTGCACAATTGCTACTGTTTCTGTGTTATGCTTATTGTTTACTATGACAGCCTATCACTTGATGCAAGTGAGAATCCTATGATCTCTTTTCTGTATCTGACATAAGGAAACATGTTTCAGGTGGGTAAGCGTCTTCGACAATTGACAAAACATCCGAGGGAGAAGATCCAGGCATTGGCATCTGATGTGGTTCAGAACTGGAAGAATATAATCGTAAGAGAAACTTTGAAAAATAAGAACAGCAATGGAGTGAATGGGGAATCTGTAAAAGATGGATCTGGTGGTGCTATTGCTAATGAAGCCACTAAATCTCAGGGAGCGAATTTGGTGAAAGTTGAAAAGGTGTCAACGGTTGATAATGTAAAAGTTAAGCAGATGACTTCAAAATCTGAAATAGTAGTGAAGTCAGAAAGTTTGTTTACTGTTAATGTCGTGAAGACTGAAAAGAGTACTGCTGCTAATAGTGTAAGAGTTGAGAAGACATCAAAAGATGGGAAATCGAGCTCTAATGTGGCAAGTGTTGCTCCGCCAAAATTGGGCGCTCTAATTTATTGCAAGGATTCTGTGAGGGACAAAGTTCGGGAACTCCTTGCAGAGGCTTTATGCAAAGTCTCAGGCGAAGTAGATGACGATTTGAGGGATGAGGTAAATGCATGTGATCCGAATAGAGTTGCAGTTCAAGTAGAGACTGCAATGTTTGAGAAGTGGGGTAGATCTAATGGTGCCCAGAAGTTCAAGTATAGGTCTATAATGTTCAATATCAAGGATCCAAACAATCCAGATTTCCGGAGAAAAGTCCTTATAGGACAGATTCCTCCTCGTAGTATTACTGAACTGACACCAGAAGAAATGGCAAGTGAAGAAAGGCAAAAGCAGAATGAGAAAATTAAAGAGAAAGCGTTATTCAATAGTGAACGTGGGCTTCCTGCACAGGCTAGTACCGATAAGTTCAAGTGTGGTAGGTGTAGAAAGAATCAGTGCACCTACTATCAGATGCAAACGCGGAGTGCAGATGAACCTATGACCACATATGTTACATGCGTGAACTGCCAAAATCGCTGGAAGTTCTGTTAAATTTGAGCCAGTATCCATTTATCACTTACTGGCATCACATAGTGAGCTCTATAGGCGCCTTGTCTTAACCTTGATGTAGTTCCTAGTTCATTTTTTCATTTTCTTCATTGGAGGCAATCTCGTTATGCCTGCATATGATCGTTGAGGTAGTTTATTGTGCGAGATGTTATGACATTGTATTTTTTTTCTCATTTCTAGGCTAAAAATTGCTCTACAGAAAGTGCAGTTGTATTGGGAAGAAATAATTATAAATAGAAGATGCATTTGTGGGCAACTATGGATATTTCCATCTGAAAATGAAATCAGTTGATTTCCTGCAAAGTTCTTCCAAATTCATCCAGAGTCTTCTGCAACAGCAGGAGAAATTTCATTTTCAGATTCTGTCCTGCTGTGTCTGGAATTTATAGAGTACGCAAATCTGTTAGGAATATTGTTGGATTCTCACCCTAAACTTTTTCCTCTTTTACCATTTTGCTCGACAGCCATTATCGCAATTGTAGTTAGGGCTGAGCATATTGGCTATCAGATTATTGGGTTAATGGTTCGGTAACTGTTTAGTGTTATTTTACTATTGAGTTATCGGTTCGGGTCTCGATATGCCCAATTTTATTAGCGGTTTAACCGATAATCTAATAAACTTTATAAAAATATGATTTTATCCTTCAGTTCTCCCAATTCTCTATCTATTGTTGTAACCCTTCCAAATTTGTCATTCTAACACATAGAGAAACAATATTGTAAGATTTATCATATTTTTTGAGAGGGTTTACAACAATAGAGAAAGTTTATCATATTCTTTATACAATACACATTATCCTTCATTACTTCTTCCCTCTAGAATCTAGATTGAGTTATCTTATCGGGTAAACCGATAACCAAACCGATAACTGATATCTTACCGGTTCGGTTATCGGTTTAACATATTTATAAACCAATAATCGATATGCCAAATCGATAACACTCACAACCGAACCGAACCGAACCGACCGATGCCACCTGTGATAGTAAACTAACTGTTCTATTTTTCAGAAACCATATTCAAGCACACACATTTCAATAAAACAGAATAGACCTAAATACAAAGTGGCATACACCATAATCAACTCTTTTCTATCTTAGTAGATGCTAACACCTCAAAGATACATGGACTAGAAATCATAGATAGAACCATTATTGCTTGACTTTCCACATTTTTTTCCACCTTTATTCTTTCCTAATTACAAATCCAATAGTGTCATCCTACTATACCCACCCCCAACTTTTCCCAATCTATGTATACATGTGGACAAGAGTCAAGAATCACATACAACTATTGCTACTTGCCATATTTCTTTTCTTTAAGAGCTTGGAATACTCTAGAACTCTTATCAAATATCTGAGCCCTCCTGTTGTAATCTGTTGGTTCTTTCCCTTCATCCTCTCCCATAATTGCTTCTCTTTCTAAACACTCCAATAATTCAACTATTCCACTTACCCCTTTACACTTCTCCCTCAATCTCTTCATTCCAACCAATTCTTTTTCCATATCCATTTCATCCTCTATTTTCCACTCCAACTTTGAACCTGAGCTTTCTTTTACACACTTCAACTTTGACAATCTACGCAATTTCCCATTATCCAATGGCTGAACTGAAGAAATCTTGAAAAAGGGTGTAAGAAAATTAGAATTAGGTGAAGAAAACGGGTGTACTTTAGCTTTGGGGTTAGGAAGACACAATTCCATAGCTATCAAATTAACAAAGAAATGTTTTTCTTTGGGAGGTTTTGAGGTATTATCAAAGGTTGTGTACTACTTGTGATTTGAAAGAGTTGGGGCTGATCTTATATATAGGGCACAGGAGGGAAATGGGTTGATGCCACGTGGAATGCAGCGGTTAAGACACTGAATTTTTTGCATACACGTTGGTTTCAGACTGATTTATTTATGACGTGTGCAATTAAATTGTTGTTGTTTGCAGTGATGTCATCCATATGTAGAGCAGTAGGTTAGATAACGCATCAAGACGATCATTAAAACGTAGTATATGGCAACTAGGCCCCAGCTTAATCTTTGTTATACAATATTTGCTCGAACATTCAAGACTTTTCGTTGTACTTAGAGTTTTATTACTATATATTGTTTTCTTGCTTAAGTTATCTTATTGTCTTGCTATTATTGTCCCTTTTCATGACTTAGCCACCTGTTGTGACCGTTCTTTGCTTGAGTCGATGGACTATTGAAAAAAGTTTTCCTACCTTCGCAAGATAGGAGTAATGTTGCGTCCATACTGTAGGCATGTAAATTTTATTAAAATTAAATTCATAAAATAATTTGGATTATATTTTAAATTCAAGATATATTAGTCCAAATAAATACTCGGGCTAATACAATTGAATTAATTATATAAGTCCAATATATATGGATTAAATAAATAATTCTTAATCCATTGGGCTAGCCCATTTAATTGGGCTAAAGTGATGAGCCCGCTTCATTAAGCCCAAAATGTCATCTTCCTAGAGGCCCAATTTGGTGCCACGTGTCAAATGACGTGTCGCGCCAAGTCAAATGAAAAAGCCAATAGGATCATGCCACGTGTCAAAATGACAAGGCATGCAAAGTCACATTAAAAGGCTAATGAAATTGTGCCACGTGTGCAAGTGACATGTTCTGGCCAATCAAATGCGACCTTGTCACACTTCGATTTGATTGGTCGGAAAGAGTTTGTTCCTATCATAACTCTTCCCTCCCACAACTATAAATAGGGGTCTTCATAAATCAGAAAAGAGACCAGAAGCTATAACAAGAAGCAAGAGAGAGCTCGTGGATCAAACGCCGCAAATTTCTCTACAAGTTTCAGGCTTCAAGCGACCAAGTTCAAGTTCAAGAAATCAAGTTCAAGTTCAAGAATGAAGAACAAATCAAGTATTCAAGCTCAAGAACGAAGAACAAATCAAGGTTCAAGAAGTGCGAGTTCAAATCAAAGTTCGTGCCAGTTGAATTCAAGATCATCGTTCGTGGCAACAAACATAGATTCAAGATCAAGCTCAAAGGTCCTTGAATTTATTTACAATTGGAAAGAAGAATCAGAGGATCCATAGAGATTATAACACTCAAATATTCGAAATAGAATACTACGATTGTTGCGATATTTTCGGTCTTGATTTTATTTTTTCGACACAAATTTATTGTCTACACATACTATCCTTCTCAGATCTCACTTGTGAGGAATGATACTACTTTGTTGTTGTATTCAAGAATTTTCTATTCTACTTTCTCCTCTTCTGGATATTGAATAGTGAAGAGAGGAAGAGAGTGGATGAAAAATATTTTGGTAGGAGGCACTTTAATTTCTTAGTGAAGCTAACCGTGCAAATTCAAATTAATTGAGTCAATACTCAATGCATATCGAGGAAAAAAAAAGAGAGGGAGAAGACTCGAACATACATTGCCCACATATTTTAGGCCTCTACATTTGTTGCAAGTTGTGTGTTTCATAATGTACAAATATTTTAATGGCAAATGTAAATGGACGAACTTTAAACAATTTAGTTACTTAATTTGCTCAACCATCAAACTCACTATCGCATTTAATTATGTTTGGGCCCGACTAAATCCTGATTCGCACCGAAAAGTCCCACATTATAGGGTAAAACGCTCCCTAACAAAGGCGACTCCATGCCCAAGGCTCGAACCCTAGACGTCTGGTTAAGGATGAAGGAGTACTTACCATTCCGCCACACTCCTTGTTGGTGATATGTTGCAACTTCATCATGACAACAATGTGCGACTTGTTTCTGGCCTATATCTCGACTATGAAGGCTGCACGCACGTTTGGCATTTTTCAGTTATAAATTAACTCGTGATATAACGTGCATAAGCACATAGGAAAGACTGATCAAATTCATGATGATTCTCAGGTAAAAGCTTGCTTAAATGCATACCTGTGCCTGCATATGAACTTGGTTCTACCCTTTCCTCAAACGCTAACTTGAGAGAACAAATCCCTGAGATTTTCACAAGTTCTTTTCCCACAATTGAAGCTTCCCACTTCTTTAATTGTCTTCGAAACCTCAGAATTCTCCAAGTACTTGACAAGATTCTTTCCTAATCAAAGTCACAGTCCCCAGGAGCTTTTCTCTGACAAAAACATGATCAACAGTAATGGAAGACTAAATCATGGAGATCTGATTCAAGTGGTAACATGCATTGAGAGCTTGGTTTTCCCAACTGGATTTGCATTCCCTGAAGAATAAATTTTTGAAGAGTAATTATCTGGATCAGTTCATACAATGCCATATCATTAGAGCTTCCACAGGGATGATGTACATGGGAGCCCCCTAATGGAAATCATGCAGACATCAACCCATATTTTCCCCATTTCAGATAAAGCTTTCCTTCATATTGATTCAAAATGTCGAGATCCGCTGAAAGGTTCTTTCCTTCAGAGGCGGATGCAATGTATCGGCACCGGGTTCAATTGAACCCAGTACTTTTGATGCGGAGCATAAATTTATATGTAAAAATTCATTAATATTGCAATAAATAGCAATTTGAACCCATAACTTTAAAAATACAATAAGTTCAATGTAAAAACCTTAAAGGTTGAACCCATAAAACCTAAGATCCGCCTCTGCTTTCCTTAATGAAAGTGACGACGAGAAAAAATGCACCTGTGCTGCATCATTGTAAGGTCATCTTAGTTTTATGCTAAATCACTTTAAATAGACTAATCTCTATCAACTTTTCCTTATAGTATGGCTCAAATTTCCATCTCACCTAGGCAGGAATCAGAATAAAAGTCAAAGAATTGCAACATAACAGCGAGAAAAGAATGACTTCAGGGTCCACAATGAACAAGGAAGTGCATCATCAATTCGTTAAAATAAAAGCCTGTACTGCAATTGCAATAATAGTCCATAGTTCACCTAAGAATATAGATTTTACTGTACACCATGTATTACAACATCTGAAATATAACATATCTAAAATGATTCAGCCATCTGATAAGCAGTAAGCATTCACCTTCCAGCTTTAGTTTCTCCACTTTTCTTCTGTCGAACTTCGACTTGGCTTGCAAAAAGATAAATTACTAACAATAACACAGGAAGAGGGAGGACAAGTTTGTTGAAACGAAAATTACTGATATACAACATGATAGCGCCAATCGCAACTGTAGTCTCACGGAAGTTACATGAAAAAATTTCAACTCCATTGAGCATTACTTGATCATGAAAATAGAGATTATGTTTTAAGATTTCCTCTTAGTGAAGGAGCTAGTAATAGCTTTCTACCTGCATATTTTACAATCTGCTCATCCTCTGAATCAGCAGAAGCAGACCTGGTATACATCATTGTAGTGGAGGCCAGTACATCATCTCCAAATCCACATGCTCTAAAAAAAGGCCTGGAGAATTATATGGCCAAAACTTACAAGTGTAGAGGTTGCTCTTTCAAAGTAACAGCAGAGAAGATTTTCTTGACTATACATGAACATATAGGATAATTTATCAGATGAAAAGCTCTAACATGGACAAAGATGAAAAACTATTAAGAATTTTAATCAATTCACTTCCCAAAAACAACAACTATGCCTCAATCCCAAACAAGTTAGGATCGTCTATACGGATCCTGCTGACCATGTTGCTACATTTAAACTCATAAGTCCGTACTAAACAAAATAAAAAGTACAAGAAGTCTCCATATTTTCTACCAGCATACAAATCTCTGACATAACTGAAAGACTCTTGAAGAACATAGGTCCTAAATTAAACATACTAACATGACTAACACTCAAACCAAATTGTTCTTCTTCTTTTTTCCGCAAACTCAATCCAACAAATTAATTCACTTTCCGACTAAATAATTTTAGCTTAAAGGTTCAGCATCTGTTTCACAACAATATCCCTTTTGTACGCCAGAATTGCTAGCTCATATATTCATGCAACAATTAACATAAAGCATGCTAAAAAAATTGAACCTACACAAATATCTCTTATTCCATCATAGAGATAGCTTGGATGAATCCGAGGCAGTCTTTTATTTCAGCATAATAAATTTTAAGGAAATAAACAAACAAAAACTGCCAATTAAGTGTAGTTTTGTTGCCTGAAAAGAAATGAACTTACTTCTCTTGATCAGAGCAGAGGGCTGCTATGTCATAAATGTCTCTGTTCACAAGAATCCTGCAAGCAAATTGAGCTCCATGAACATCGATTAACAGGGTGAAAAGAGAACTTGTGCAACCAACAAATATCTACAAAGACTAGCTCATGGATCGCCAAAATGAAACAATAAGCTTCAATTATTGCGGCCTAGGAGGAAGAAGGAAAGATAATCGTCCTTATTTGTTTAAGGTGTGGAAGAGAGGGTTAAAGTTCCAGTATGAAACATCCTATACATAAAGCGGATCCAGGACTAAAAAGCAATATATGTAACATGCACCCACTGCTTAGGCTGTATGACCCTCCTATGTGCCAATCAGAATATAAAGGAAAAAAGACAATATGGTAACCTTAACATCCTTTGAACTATCTTCCTGCCAATGCCTCTTCTCCGTAGTGAAGGGATGACCTGCAAATCACTGAAGCAGAATCACATGAATACCCCATGGATTAGAAATACTCCATGGTATTGGATTATACATAAAGGGAATAAAAGGAGAAGTAAACGCTAAACCTTGGTTAGATAAACTTCTACATGAAAAAGATCTCATTACCCCCCCCCCCCCTAAAGGATAACGTTTTAGTTGTTACTGTTTTTTTCATGAACCTTGAGGCATTCCCTAAGTACCTTTTCAAATGGGGAGCCACTCCACTATATTAAAATTTGCTCCAATAGTTGTCAATGCAACTTTAGATTGATGACAGATATCCTTGAAATTTTAACAGTTTGAAATTGTTTTGGCTTATCTCTATTATGGTTAAATCTCTATTAATGTTAAGGCTGGCAAAAAAGGTAAATATCTGGTGGGAGCATGACATCATGTGAGATGCAACCCCCTTTTACCTTTCTTTTGAATATATCTCCTCTCAGAAGAAATCATTAGTTACCCTTTTCCAAGAAAGCAGAAACCAGTACAACAAAAAGTCAACCATTGACGGTTGAAAGGATTGTCTTTTTTGTTTGACTATAACATAACTTTTATCAATTTTTAACTGAATTAAATATGACTATGTCTTCAGAAAATACATTGAATCTATTAATTTCCTTTTTTTTATCTGTCGCTGGGATTTAGTAAATTTCTTGAGCTTGAGTTTGGTATTACAATTCAATATGCATCTTTGTATATGCTTATTAGTTAGATATATTGGTACTGCAAAGTACAGAGTATTAATCTACCTTTTCTTTTTCTCTTGGAGAGAAAAGCATGTAAGATACTGCACCTGAAGAAGTTTTACAAATAAATCTGGAGAGTATGTGATCTTGAATCTAAACTTGGCCTGGAGTCCGACAGCAATGAGAATGCAATTAATCTTATAACGAATATGCAAGGTTTGGTTATAGTACTTGTAAAGAGTATGTGAACACGAATAAGAAATTACGTTATGTAAGCCAAGAAAGATTACATGTTTCAGAGAAGGTTTTTGTGGAAATGATAAATGAAAAAAACAAGTTATAAACCCACGAAAAGAAGCTAGAATTGAATGCCAAGCTCACAATTTGTTACGTGTTTACTGTTCGGAAAGTCTCAAATTACTAAGGTTTATGCAGGACACAATATTTTTTTTTTTTGAGAATGAGAACATAATTACTTTATTGTTCCAACATAATGGTTCACATGTTACCGTCTCCTTGAAACATGTAATCTTTCTTGACGTTACATAACGTAGTTTCTTATTCGTGTTCACGTACCATGTAGTATATCCAACCCTTCTTGCATACTTGTGATAAAAGTTAATTGTATCATCATCACTATTAAATTCAAGCCCAAGTTTAAGCTCAAAATCAACTTACCCTTAAGACTTATTTTGTAGAACTTCTTCTAGTGCACTATCAGATTCGTTTTTCTCAAAGTTACTCATTAAACTTCTAAGAGCAAAAAACATGTAAACAATTTGTATGTACCAAAATAATAACCAATAAACATATATAAAGTTACATATTGAAAAATAAAACCAAACTCGAACACAAGAAATAATTACTTGCTAAGTAAATGAATATATTCACCCAGCGATTAGAAATAAAAAAGGGTTCTAAAGGCATAAACAATAATCATGTTTATCCAATTAAACAATTGGTAAAAATAAAAATAAAAAGAAGAACACAAACCTTTTAACATTAAATGGTAGACTGTTTATTGTTGTCATATTTCTGCTTCTTTGTGAGAGGGTAAACACTGATAGATTTTGGGAAGGAGATATGTTCAAGTGAAAGTTAAAAGGGCGGGTCGCATCCTGCACGAATGTCACTCCCACTATATTTTAACTTTTTGCTTTTTTCGAGCCTAGGCGTTAATAGAGATATAACAATACTAGAGAATAAACCAAAATAAATCTGGCCTTTTTCATATTCACAAGGATGCATATCAACAAATTTTAATGGAGATGCATCTCAATCCCAAACTAGTTAAGACACACCTATTCTATCCATCAAATACTGCAACCCTCCTCCTTCTACCCGGGAAGATTTTGTTTTCAGTAATAGATAAATGTTGCTTAATTAAACATGTATATTGCAGATAAAGATCTTCTTTTTATTAAACTGCAAGCAAAATATTCAACCAATTCACAAAAAATATAAAACACAATTGCATATCAACTATTAATCTGACCATAACATCATAGATAGCAGCTGTCAATCCAGAATCAGAAACAGCACGTCCAAAACCAACCAATTCTCCATTACTCGGTGTCACAGGCACCACTTTTCCAATCCAATCTCCACCAATACCCGTTAAACTCGGAGCCAATTCGGGTACCAAACCGGGTACAAAGTCGGGACGGGTAAAGACCGAAACGACGATGTAACTATGACGTAACGCTTTTCGAAGCTTGTTCAGATCCACCGGCTCAACTTTACCTTTTGAGTTCAGCTTTGGAAAACGGTGACATGAATGGTTGCATAAGGAATAGAGATTTTTAAGGTGATTAGGGATTACGTCATTAGGGTTTGTGGAAATTAATAGTGGAGGCGGCGTTGGTTTGCTTTGTGCGACTGTTTTTTGAGAGATGCTGTGGAATTTGGAGGGAAGATAACCGCCGTGTACGGCGGCTGCAACTGCCATGTTTTAGTTTTTTTATTTTTAAACTCTTTCGCTTTTTTTATACTCCGTCTATTTTGGGTTTTGGATAATTTCGTCTACCTCCCCTGAAATTTCGGTTATTATACTTTCACCCTTGTAGTCTCTAATCATTGTCCATTTTATGTATGTGTAGGGACTACGGAATAACATGGTAATTAAAATGTCACATTGTAGATTTACGAGTTTGAATTTTTATGCGTCTTAACCGTTACAATTAAGTTTGGCTTTCGTATGTTCAAGCCATAGTGCAAATATCTTTTACACTAAATTTTTTTTTTGGGTGCAAAAGATACTGCTTTATATAATATTAAGGTTGAACGTCACAAGTAGCAGGATACAACATAAACAACATCCTAGGAGAGCGACTTCTGGATGGGTCGTAACAAAAAGGGGATGCATGTTGAAAACTAGTATTTGGGGAAGCTGTTTCTGGATGATTACAAAAAAGCCTGCCAACGTTGCTAGTCTGGCAGTTAGGTTGGAGTTGTCTAACAAAAAGTGTTCTCGAACGGTCTTCTTCTAGCGTCTTCTGGACAAAAGGCGGTGGTTGATAAAAAACGGTGATGCTTGGGGAAGCCTCAATCTGGAAACCATGTTTAGCTAAAGAGTCAGCTACCTAGTTTTGCTCCATGTACGTGTGAAGGATAACCGGATCATTCGGTTGAGCGATCAGAGACCTGCAATCAAAGGTAATGTTAGCATAAAGTGGATGGGAGGTATGAAGTAGAGTAATAAGAGCCTTGGCATCTAAGTTGACTTCAAGGGGTGCATATCCATGAGTGAATGCCAATTTTAGACCATGGTAAAGTGCAAGTAGCTCAGCTCCAATGCTCCCATGAATTAAACGATGACCCAAGAAGCGGATGACTCCACCAATTCCCCCTACAGAGTGTGTTGTACGGTTGAACCATCAGTATTTAGTTTAAAGTAACCTGGACTAGGAGGGTGCCACTTGATGTGCATTGGGATATGTGTAGATATGGTATGAGGGGGAAACTATATAGTAGAATTCTGCAACCATACGAAGAATATGAGACGCGGAGGGGGGTTGATTATGGGATCGAAAAAGTTTTCCATTACGGGTTAGCCAGATGTGCCACAGGCCAAGGGGATAAGTATGCCATTGGGGACATTTAGGGAATTCGGCGTGGTAGTATGCAAAATGAATTGTTTGAGCCATGTGAAAGGGGAGTCAAAAGTACTCTGAAGCTTTGTAATTTCTGGTATCATGGATAAGGTTGACCAAAGTTGTACTACAACTGGACAGTGGAGGAATAAATGCGTTATTGTTTCAGAGTTGGTAAGGCATAGGGCGTATGTGTCGTCTTGGAGGAAGCCTATGCGGTGATAATGGCTAGCAGTAGGGAGGCGGTTATGGCTAGTCAGCCAGAGGAAGTGTTTAATTTCTTGTAGGAGCTGAAGCTTCCAAATCCAATTAAAAGATGGTCCTGAGGAGGTTGGGAGTAAGTGGTTATAAAGTGATTAGGTGGTGAAAGTGCCCCTTGGATCTAGAGTCCAGGCAAACGAATCAGGGTTAGTGGTGTAGGAAGGAATATACGTATTAAAAACTTGTTGTAGGAGCCCTGACGGGAGTTCAAAAGGGACATCGGGTAAGATAAGTGGATATTGTATCAAGAAGAGCATGGCGGGGTAGTGGCCCTGTGATACAGTGTCGCAAGGGTTGATTAGGTCCGATCCAGGAATCAGACCAGAAGTTAATGAGTGTGCCGTCACAAATGAGCCACCTAATGCCTTGTTGACAGAGGTGCCAGCGTATGAGGTGGTTATACCAAATAAAGGAGCCACGAGCGTGTGGATTGGTTGTATGGTAAAAGTATTTGTGGAGAAGGGTAGCGGCCCATAAGGAGGAGGGGTTGCGAAGCATTCGACGGGCCTGACTAGCTAGTAAGGATTGGTTTTTTTGGGAAAGGTGTTGTATACATAGGCCACCATGAGTTTTTGGCATGGTGATAGTACTCTATTTTACAAGGTGGATTTTCTTTTTATTGGGAGTGGTGCCCCAAAGAAAATTGCGTTGGCAGCGCTCTAATTGGGAGAGAAGAGTTTGAGGAATTTTAATGTATTGCATTACATGATTTGGGAGGCTATTTAGAGTGGAGTTAATAAGAGTTGTGCGCCCAGCCATAGAAAGGAAGTTCGTTTTCCAACCCGCAAGCCGTTGTTTGAAGTTATCAAGAATGAACTGGAAATGACGTTTGTTGGGCCGCTCGGTAAAACTTGGGAAACTCAGATATCTACCAAAAGATGCGCCTTCATGCATGTTGAAAGATGAGAGAACAAAATTCTTATCCTGGGGGGAATAATTTTTTGAGAAGAAGATTTTTGATTTTTGGAAGTTAATTTTTTGACCTGAGACTCGATTGAAGTCATTAAGTATGTCAATGATGGCATGAAAACTGCTTGCTGATGTCGTAGAAGTGAGGATAATATCGTCCGCAAAGAACACGCGAGGGAGTGCGGGGCCATGTTTAGAAAGACGGATGAGTTTCCATAGATGATAATCGACGACCATATCAACTTTGCGAGTAAGTAATTCCATACATAATATGAAAATGTAAGGGGAGAGGGGATCTCCCTAACGGATGCCACGTGAGGGTGAGAAGAAAGGGGTGCGAGTACCGTTGATGAGGATAGAAAGTGAGGAAGTGGTAACGCATAACATAATTAATTGAATGATGGGGGGGGGGGGGGGTTGAAGT